TAATTATGGTAGGAGGTCTCAGTTCCTTGCCACATGGCTACTTGAGTGTCCTCACAACATGGCAGCTGGCTTCCCCCAGAGTGAGTGATCCAAGAAGAAACATGGTGGAAGCATCTATGTCTCTTATGACTCAGCATCTGAAGTCACACTTCATCACATCCGCCATATCCTAGTGCATCACAGGTCAGCCCAATGCATGTGGGAAGAGAGCACACAAGGGTGTGAATGCCAGGAGGAGACAATCAGTGGGGGTGCTTTGGACAGCCTACTGCCACAATGTCCCACTTACTGAAAGGTATGGTGGGAACACAAAGGCTTGGTGTCAAGCAGACTCAACACATGATAAGTATTCAATAAAGTTAGTACCCTCCCTTTCCCTTTGGTCCATGTGACTCCTGGTGTCACCTGCTTAGACCTTGGCACTCCTTCCTCTGAGGTGACACCCTACACCACTGCTGCTTCCAGTGATTCACAGTAACTTAAAGGTTCATTGCTACCTAAAATTTCCCTCAGTTCTCATCTGTCTTCTGGGTCTTATACATCTTACTGTACCTGAAGTGAAGGAAGGATGTTCAAATTATCTATTGTGGCATAACAGACCACTCAAAAAGAGTGGACAATAATGATCCTTTATTTTGCATATGAATCTTGCGTTGACTGGACTCAATTGGGCAGCTCTTGCTTGGGGTCTCTCATGTGGTTACAGGCAGGCTGGATCTGGGTCATCACAAAGGCTCTCCTCACACGTCTGGGTTGGAAAGACTCAAACAGCTGGGGGCTGGAAGGGCTGGGTCTCCTCAGTCATTTCTGTCTTTCTATATAGAAACAAAGATGATGATGATGATAGACAGATAATAGATAGGTAGATAGATAATGGATATATAGATAGATAGATAATAGATAGAAGATAATAGATATGTGATAGGTATAGACAAACAAATATAGATAGATGATAGATAAGTAGGTATATTGATATAGATGCATATAAATGTAGATAGATGAGTTATAGAAAGATAGATCAATATAGATAAATGATAGGTAAATAGGAAAATATATATACATGATTGAGAGTTATAGACAGATATATAGATAGATAGATGATAGAATGATATATACAGACTTACACACTGACACTTATAAGGACATTTTGCATCTTCAAACCGTATTCCATGAAGAGGATAATTCTTGGCCTAAAGAGGTGAAGATACAAGTTCAGACACCCAAATAAGGGCCTACCAGATCCACTTACTCTGTAGAAGGTCTCAGTTAGTCTGTCAGAGGAGAGGAAGTGAATCCCTGAATAAACCAACTTTGACTCAACAATTCCATGGCCCTGCCTATCTTTGAGCCCTGAAGGGATAAACCTGTCTCATCCTATCTTTACATGTATCCTGGACACTGCACAGCCTGGACATGAACAGAGATACTTGTCAGATTTCTGGGACCAGAAAAGAAAAGTAGGGGAGGGCAGAAGAGGGCCCACAGGAATGCAGTGGGAACGTTTCCCTTGAGTCAATTCAATGCATGCCCCACGCAAAGTTGCCTACACATAGTTGTTATGACAAAGACATACCTGAAATGGGGATGTTTATATTGTTTTTAGGGAAGTTATTGAACAACATCAGCTGTGACACCAATGATTTCATACTTAAACTTCCGTGAAAGATGGATGCAGTTATTTTCAAAACTGTTAGGTGAAGTTGGAGTTGATACTGCTGGACCCCAAACTTCAAAATCAATATGGGCTCCCTGAGGATTGAGCATAATATGTCTACGAAAATAATAGCTGACATTTATTAAGTGCTCACTTCCTGCCCCGTGATCTGTGTCCTAAATACTTCACACACCGCATCTGACTCCACCATCACTTGAGTTAGGTGCTATGTTATTTCTCTACTTTGCAGATGGGGACTCTGAGACACTAAGTACTAAGGTATGAAGGTAGTAAGTAATTTGTTCAAGGTCGCACTTGTAAGTGTATGTAGTGTAGGAGGGTACCAGATCCCTTTCACTGGGCTGCACACCCCTCCCAAGTTGCTGGGAATATTGCCTGTTACTAGCTCACAGCTGCCCCATTCTCTAGAGAATCACCCTTGGCCAAACTAAAGCCACTTCACCTGGGAGTTTCAGCATTTGCCCAAAGCCACTGATTGGTCCAGACTGGGCCCTGGACTGAGCTGGGATTCAAAACCCAGGAGATCCAGCTTCAGAGCCCCCCATCTCTCAATCACTGTGTGGTGCTGCCTCCTGATACTAAAATAATACAAGTAAGACTAAGATGAGAGAGTGGCAGAGCTGTGTGAGGCAAAAGGTGCCTTTATGGCTCTTTGCCCACCAACAATCAAAAACTTACAGAAGAGACAGTTCAAAGAGCTGTTTTCCTGAATCACCTCAGAATAAATGCAGAGCTGATCTTTCATAACCCGTGTATTTCCTATGAAAGGGATGTTGTCCTACATTTCCTCAACACAACCATCAAAGTCAGGAAGTTAACACTGCTACATGGCACATCTAACTCTCACACCCCATTGAATCCCCCCAGTTGTCCCAACAATGTCCTTTATAGCAGAAGAACCCAGCCCACATGTCATATTTAGATGTCACCTCTCTTTAGTCTCCTTCAGTCTGGAACACTTCCTCAGTGTTTGACTTTCATGACCTTGACACTTGAAGATTACAAACCAGTCATAGATGAGGTGTAGAGTATTCCTCAGTTTGAGTTTGTCTGACTATTGCAGGATTTCTTTCAGGTTTCCTTCCTTGGCAGAACTATCTCAGAGGTCACACTGAGTTCTTCTCACTGCATCCCATCAGGTGACACCCAATCAGTTCACCCTGTTCCTGGTGATGCTCTCTCTCATCATTTGATTAAGGGAGTGTCTGCCAGGTTTCTCCACTGTGAAGCTACTCTTTGCCAATACACTTAATGGGTATTTTGAGCATCAGCACTTTGAAACTGTGTAAACATCTTCATCAAATTGCTATTTAGCCATTTATATATATTTATATGTACTCGTGTTTTCCCTTTATACAGTAGCTCATAATCTCTTACCATCCTTCTTTATTATGATGCTCAAATTGTCTCTGCTTTGGTCAGTGGAAGCCCCTCAGGATGGCTTCTGGGTCCTGTTGACAGGTAACCATCACTTTCATTCTCTTCCATTATAGCACAACAAGACATTTCAGGCTCATCTTGTACTTTCCCGGTCCCAGCTCTGAAATCAGAGTTCTCTAAGGACCCCTGGTTCCTCTAGCAAAAAATATTATCTATAAGGCAAGATCTGGGCACGAGGTGTGTCATTGCTATTAGGGTGTCACTATTTCCAAGCATTATCAGTGGAGAGAAGTAAGGACAATATGTTTTTATATCTACGCAAACACACACACACACACACACACACACACACACACACACATACCTACAGCTATCTATCTATAAACCATCTACTATATAGAAAGCATGAATTTACTCTAATACATTATGATCTGATCTCTGACTCTGCAGGGTTCATTCCAGGCTTCTCCCTTTCTGAATCAGTGACTCCTTTATCCAACAATGGGAAACCTGGCTGCCATCATCCGTAATATATTAACTTATTTGATCAATCCCCCTTTATGCGGCCAATCCCCACTCCATCACTTTGCACTCACAGATGCACTCCATACCCTGCATGGTTTCTCCACATCCTATTTAGGCTCTGGCTGTTTTCACCAGGTCACCCCTCTGCGTGGACCCCCTTCTCACCCTGCTTATCTCCCACACCCATGCCATGCTGCCCCTCCCTGTACATACCCTCCCCACCCTACTCTGCTCTGACTTGGAGCCACTGCGACTCCCATCTCTGCCCTTGACCCACAATGTGTGGCTGGTCACATTGCTGTGCCCTGCCTACTGGCTTTAGGACTAAATTATCCAGGAAGAGAAAAGGAGGGAAGGGGAGGAAAGGGCCAGAACGGAAAAGGAAGAACATGTGCGGCTTCTGATACCAACTGAAACTGATGAAAGACAGCATCCTTTCTGCCCAATCAATTGACCAACCAATCACTTTTTATTTGATCTTCGTTGTGTTAAGACAGTTGGGAGTTGAGGATGGAGTACAAAGACATATAAGAAAACATGTTTCCTGCCTTTCAGAAACGTCAGGGGAGAGGAGAAGAAAAGATTAAATCAAAACTAATAACGTAATAATAAGCGCCTCAGTTGAGTGTTACAAAAAATATGTGCTCCAGGGGCCAGCCCAGTGATGTAGCAGTTAAGTTCACACACTCCACTTCAGCGGCCTGGGATTCACAGGTTCAGATCCCAGGTGCCAACTTACATACTGCTTCTCAAGCCTTGCTGTGGTGGTGTCCCATATAAAGTAGAGGAAGATGGACAGGGATGTTAGCCCAGGGCCCATCCTGCTCAGCAAAAAGAGGAGGATTGGCAATGGAAGTTAGCTCAGGGCTAATCTTCCTCACAAAATAAATAAATAAACGTGCTCCAAAAAAGAGGGCATTAAACTATGAATATATTTTCTAAGCAACAGGCAAAGTCACAGTGGGTTGACTCTCTATGTTAATGTATCAAATGAGTGTTCTCAAAAAGGCCCAGCCAACCAGTGATTGTGATGGCCAAAAACATTTACTCACTGGCTCTCACTGATTGAGGTCTTTAGATTCCCCCTAATGTGCACAAAGACATCAGATAATACTTTTGTAAAGAGACGTATATTGACTTGCTCAGCATAATAATTCATAGAAGATTCAAAATGAACGTGTGATATAAATGTCACTACTACAATCAGCACAATAATTCTTATTTTCATTAAAGTGTGTTGATACAATTGTTGAGAAACTTTTACTCTTGACCAGTGCTCAGGAAGAGTAGATGGTACTAAATGGGTGTGGATGGAGATTGTCCTGTGAGAACCAGATAAGCTGAGTCTGCATATCTGGCACTTACTAGGCCTTTATATTGAACAACATATAATACTCTACACAGACACTGAGAAAGTCCTTAGGGAGAGTCAGGCTCCACTCACAGTCCCATCTCTGGACTCAACCTTTAGAACAATGGGGTTTTTTGGTTGAAGAAGTCCTTGCCTGCTTAGTTTCAGGGGGATCTGCAACAGTAAAACATGCATATGAGAACTGACTGATAAGCTCTGCCAACAACAGAAGCAAAGTAGATGAGATATGTTAAGGGCAATAATACTTGAAAAACATATAAACTACTTTTAACATCATATATCCTTGATTCTTTATACTTAGTCTATACATTGTGTCAGACTGGACAGTAAAGGTTTCATTCACCCGTTCATTCAACAAAATATCTATGCAGCACCATTTTTGACCAAACCAGGGACAAAATCAGGTTGGTTTGTGCTCCCTTTTGATTTAAATTTTAAGTAAAAAGAATGAACTATTAAAATTTTAAAAAAATTCTTAAGGATTATGGCAAAATATTTTGAAAAGCCATATAGACTTAATTTTGTATATGTTGGAACTTGCAAGGTAATCCTGAGTGGGTATTACACATTTTAATTGTATGAGCCATCCTTGACTTCTAAAGAGCCCTATCACCTCTCCCGATGGAAGCAATCCAGTTTCATGATGGTAAAAGGTCTTTATGAAGCCTTATGCCTGTTTTCTAACATCTCTTAGATCACAGGCATAGTGTAAATGGTGACCTTCTGACATACAGTGTTTTGACTGATAGTTTTAGCTCCATTCTCACCCAGTCACTCCTTCAGTGTAGGGAGACTAGCAGCGGATTCACTTTTGGGACTCAGTTGAATGAATGGCAAGCAAATTGTCATGGAAGGTGAGAAGTGTCAGTCTGTGCATGACTGGGAGCTTGCAGGGAATGTCTGCCCATTCCGAGTGTGCCAGAGACCTGCTTTCTCTCAGGACTGAGTGCCCTGTTTGTACACACTTACAGACTGCCACACAATTGCCCTAAAGCAAAAAATAAGATGAAAACCATCTCTATTCTCCTCTCCCCTGAAGAAAGCCTACTTAAGGGGAGGAGCTGCATATTAAATGCAAGAATCCTAGAAATAATCCTTCTTATGAGGCCTTGTTTGATAAGAATAAATGGCAACCATTCCTGATGTTCATCAGAGGAGAGATTCCAGATCTTTCTATAAATATGAAACCTTGTTATTTTATAATTCAATATAGCATATGTGTATTTTCCCTGAAGAAAGACACACACACACATAACATGCACATACACAAATGTCATTTAAGTTTTTATAGTTAAAATTGTTCAAAATTTGTATCTAAGATCTCTAAATCAACTCAAATCACTCTATAAGCATTCACTGGATGGCTGCAAGACACCAGCTAGAGTTAAAGACATTCTTAGGTACAAAGAAAACATAGAACATGAAACTGGATGGTTTAATGATAAAGTGTTAACTTAGGTGGCCCAACCAATGATACCAGCCAGCAGAAACTGATAACAGAGCAGAGGAGAGAACGGGCTCTGGACTAGATGGAGAAGGCTCCATGGAGGGGCTTGGGTATTGAACTTGGACTTGAAGAATGAGAACAGAATGTGGAGGACACTAATAAGAACATTCATAAAGTTATAACTAGGATGTAAATGGAGCCCAGCTTTACTGGAGCAGGGCTCCTGGAAGGCGAGGTCAAATAGCCCAGATGGCCCTAGACTGTGGGAGTCCTTCACATCTGGCACTAAAGCTTTAAATCAGTGATTCTCAACTTTGGCCACACATGAGATAACACAATGGTGCTTTTAAGCCCCACTCCCACGAATTATTATAGAATTTCTGAGGCGACCTATTCATCAAGATTTTTGAGCTCCCCATTGATTTCTTTATATAGACAGTGGTTAAGAACTGCTCTCACAAAGCTTCTGTAAGTTCTGGTGGAAATGAGCATCCTTCAAAAGTCATGACATGGTAATCACTGTATTTCATGGTTGTGCACAACACTCTTCCTTACTTCCAGTGGACTTCAAATCAAATTTAAAACTTGTCTCAAGTTCAAAGGACTGCTCATATTCATGCCATGCTAATTGAGTTGACTCTAGATCACCTTTATAGTTGGATCTTTGTAACACCACAGACTTAGCAGTCCAGAGCCAAAGGGCCCTAAGGTCACTGGCCAATATTAAATGATTCTTTGAAGAGAACACATTCTTTCAAATACTGAGAGATAGACACCCCCAGTTAAAAAAAAAACTCCAAATAAGACATTATTTATGTAGAACATTAACTGTCTGACCTGTGTTTCTTTACAAGGTTGGAAGGAGAAGTTCTGCAGTATTCTGACGACAGCAAGTTTCATGTTTAGGATAGCAAACCTCATGCCAATGCAGTTGCGAGGTCCAGTTCCAAAAGGCAGGTATAAATAAGGATTTATGTTGTCCTTGTTCTTCTTACTGAACCTGGTTCCACAATAGTAGATGAAAACAAGTTAGTGAAACAAAAACCACAAGAGCTAGGAGGGTGACGCCAGCATCATAGTGGAGTGAGTTGTTCCCTTTGTCTCTCCCTTCAAAGTTACAACCAATCAGACATCCATTGATGAACAGAGGATTGTCAACACAGCACAAAAGGGTGCATAAGAGATCCATACACCTATACATCGGAAGGAGGGGGAATGGAACACCTGGAGGCAGTGGAACTAGCGTAGCAGCCACCTGGCCCTCCCTCAGTAACAGCAATCCAGGGTGTGGAGACTCACGCCAGTGCAAGTGCCTGCAAATAGTCACTGTGAGTGGAGAAGAAACAGCAGTTGCCATGGCTCACATGACCGCAAACAGTGCAGAAACAGCAGGCACCACAGCTCATGCAACTGCATGCAGAGCAGAAACAGGAGGCACAGTGGGAGCAGACGAAGTGCACATTGCACCTTGCACAACTGTAAGCAGACATGGCAGGAGCAAAACTAATAAGCATCACTTCGAGTCTCACAGGGGATTCAGCATGCATGCCCCCCCCCACCATGGCAGTGGCCATGTCTTTCCAACAGTAGGGATAGTATACAAAACACTGATTGACCTGGCTGGAGTGGGATACCTTGACCTGAGTTTTCAAAACACACCAGCCAGTGCCTGAGACCTGAGGCTGCGTGAACTAGAAGCAAAAACAACATCTCCTAGCTGAGCCTCTGCTCTCCCCCTGTGGTGTCAGGGTGGACCTGTGACCAGAAGCATCAGGAACCACAGCAGAACCAGTGAAACATCCCCCACTGGTGGCAACCCCAACACCAGCTCCACCAGCTGCAGTAGTGCATACAAGTCCCCTGGACCCCGGACCCCTGGCAACAACAGCAACACCTGTGAACGCAGCACTGGTGGCACTGATGCAACCAGCACCAGCAGGCAGCCCAGGAGCAGCAGTGCAGGTGGTGCACAGGTCAGCAGCATCTGGACATACAGAGAACTCATGGAGAGCCAGTGAAGGAACACAAGACCCAGGTGTGCCTGGAAGAAACAGATGTTCCTGCAGCCTGGAGACCTCGGTGGTGACAGCTGAGGTGGCAGTGACATCACAAGCAGCAAGGCACCAACAACCTCAGAGGCAGAAACTACACAACGAGCGCACTGACAATGCCTCTAGTAGAGGCAGTGGAGGGAGGAAAGTGCAGGCTCTCAAATACAAGCAGAAGCAGCTCAGAACCCTAGTAACCAAAGTCTTACCCGAATAAGAAATGATGTTACCACCACAAATGCTCTGGCAGATGATCAATTCATCAAACACCATGAAGAACTACAGTAACATGGCACAACAGAAAGAGAATGACAACTCTCCAGAAACCAATCTTGAAGTCACAGAAGACTACCATCTAAGTGACAGAAATTCAAAACAGCTGTCATAACGAAACTAAATGACTTACAAGAAAACTCAGAAAGACAGCTCAATAAGCTCAGGAATAAAATTAATGAACAGAAGGAGTACTTCTCTAAAGAGACAGAAACTAAAACAAAACAAACAAACAGAACTTCTGGAGTTAAAAAACACAATTAATGAAAAGAAAAATAAAGTAGAAATCATTAAAAATAGAGCAGACCATATGGAGGAGTGAATTAGTGAGTTCAAAGATAGAAACCGAGAAATGATTCAGGTGGAGGAGGAGAAAGAACAAAGATTTTTTTAAACAATGAAGAAATTCTTCAAGAAATAGCGGACTCATTTAGGAACAATAACATAAGGATAATCGGTATTCCAGAAGGAAAGGTGGAAAGGAACAGAGATCTTATTCAAAGAAATAATAGCTGAGAACTTCTCAAACCTTGGAAAGGAACTGGACATGCAACTCATGAAGCTAATAGAACTCTTAATTGCATCAATCCAAAAAGACCTTCTCTGAAGCAAATAATATTGAAACTGTTAAAAGTCAATGATGAGGAATAAAAGCACTAAGGCAACAAGAGAGAAGAAAATAAAATACAAAGGAACGCCCACTAGGTTTTCAGCACCTTTCTCAGCAGAAACCCTACAGGCTAGGAGAGAGTGGAATAATATATTCAAAATACTGAAAGACAAAAACTATCAGCCAAGAATACTATATACAGCAAAATTATACTTCAGATATGGTGAAGAATAAAAGTTTTCCCAGACAAACAAAAGCTTAGAGAGTTCATTGCACTAGACCGGCCTTATAAGAAATGTTGAAAGGAGCCCTCCTACCTGAGAGACAAAGACAAAGGTTTACATAGCTTTGAGCACAGAGTTAAATAGAATCAGAAAATTAAACCTCTGTATCTGAATAGGTTGGCAAACACTTATTTATAACATAAAGGCTAAAGGGAAAGAAAGCATCAAAAATAATTGTAACCATTTCAATTTGGTCACAAACTCACAACACAAAAAAGAATAATTAATCACAACAATAACCTAGAAGGGAAAGAGGAAAAGGACGGAACCTGCATGGGCTAATGGAGATAAGAGGCTATCAGAAAAAGGACTGCCTAATCTGTTAGATCTTTTATGCAAACCTCATGACAACCACAAAAGAAAAAATCAGAGCAGGGTCAAAAATCATAAATGAGGAGAAAACTGAGAAAAACATCACAGAAAGCCACCAAAGTGAAATGGCAAACAGAAACACAAGGAAAAAGAAACAAAGGATACATAGAACAAGCAGAAAAGAAAAGATAAAAGGTCAGTATGAAGCCCTCATATATCAACAATCACTCTAAATGTAAATGGATTGAATTCACCAATCGAAAGACACAGAGTGGCTGGATGGATTAAAAACCAAGACCCAGGAGGTTTCCGTGGAGACAGCAGAGCCTGCGGAAGGTGGCGGCCGTGGTGGCACCTGCCAGCCGAGGCCGAGGCAGGGCATGGTGGCACCGACAGCCCTGTGAGAGCGAAGCGGCCGCGGGGCCCACCATGCGCCAGCGGCCCTGACATGGGTGCCAGTGGCTCCAAAGCTCGGGGCCTGTGGCCCTTCGCCTCGGTGGCGGTGGGCGGTGGTCCGGAGGCTGCGGTCGCTGAGCAAGCTTTGATGCGGCCGCGAGGCCGAGTCGTGCCCCCCTTCATATTCACGCACCGCGGCTCCATGTTCTATGATGAGGTTGGGGATCTGGCTCACGAGTTCTATGAGGAGACAATCGTCACCAAGAACGGGCAGAAGCGGGCCAAGCTGAGGCGGGTGCATAAGAACTTGATTCCTCAGGGCATCGTGAAGCTGGATCCCCCCGCATCCACATGGATTTCCCTGTGATCCTCTACGAGGTGTGAGCCTGGAGGGTGGCAGGCATAAGCATCTCCTGCCCCAGCAAGAAACCTCCAGGCTCAAGGTTTGGCTTCCAGTGAGGAACCTAGGCTGGGGCCACAACCCTGAATAAACTCCATTGGCCTGGAATCTTCAGCTGTGAGCAGGGCAGTCCTGCAATGTTAATTGGGTGTTGGTTTGTATGTGGACAAGAGGTGGCTGGTGGTGGGCAGGGGATAATGGTGAAGTTACCAGCCCACCTTCCCCAGCAGTCTCTACAAGGAGCATGGCAGGGCATATACTGGTCAGGAATGCCTGGTTCCTGTGCCCTTGCCTGGCCTGCTTTCTTCCAAGCTTGCCTAGGGCCCAGCCCTGGTAGGAGCTATAGCACTTTACAAGCAAGGTCTGCCTTCTTCCAGCCCTTGGGCTGTGGGAGCTGTACAGAAGTGGGAACTTCCTTTCCCTCACTTCCCTTACCCCTTCATTGGAGCATTTCAGCAGTTTGCTATCTCGATTCCTCCTGTGTCGGACAGAGGCTGGGGGCAGCACAAGCCTGATTCTTCCTGCCCATCTGTTCCCACCCCCAGAGAGATGGACAGTTTGCTGGCTGTTAATAAGAGTAGGACTGGTGTGGAAGGCTTTTCCCTTCACCCAGGGCTGGGCTGATACCTTCCCACTGCAACTAGTTGTTGCCCTCCACCCCCACTGCCGGTTGAGAGGGCATAAGATGGGAATCAGGAAGGACTATGGATGCCTATGCCTAGGGGGAGTTGCCTCAACCCACCTACTCTGTCTAACCCCCTTTGCCTTTGCACCAGCCCCACCCCACACACACACCCCATTGGGAGGAGACCATCCACTACCCTATGGTGAGGAAGAGCACCCTAGGGCTGGTGCCAGTAGCTCTGTGGAGCCCACCATCCCTTCCCCTACAGTATACCCATCCCTTCAGGATCAGTCAAGGGAAAGTACTGGCGACCCTGGGTAGGGACAGAAAGGAGAATAACCATCAAAGGAATACTTAAAATGTGAAAGTTTGTAAATAGTCTAGTTTATGATGTTGTTGGTGCAGAGTCTGATTTCTACATAGAAATGACTATGACTTTTTTTTTAATTCCTTACTGTGCAAGCTCTGTGCTTCAAGAGTGTGGGAAATGGCTTGGGGAGGGTGGCCCCCAATCTAGGAAGGCTGTTGTTGTGTTTTTTGTTGTTTCAATAAAATTATTTGTAGACCCTAAAAAAAAAAAAAAACCAAGACCCAACAATATGCTTTCTCCAGGAAACACATCTCAGATGTAAAGATAAACATCAGCTCAGAATGAAGAGATGGAAGATGATACACCAAGCAAATCACAACCAAAAAAAGTGGGTATAGTCATACTTATATCAGACAAATAGACTCAAGGCCAAAAAAGATAACAAGAGACTAAGATGGGCATTATATAATGATAAATGGAACAAACCATTACAGGGATATAACATTGATTAATATACATATGCCTAAGATAGGAACACCAAATTATATAAAGCAAGTTTTGACAGACCTAAAGAGAGATATTGACAGCAACACAATATTAGTAGGGGATTTTAATACCCCACTTACCTCAACAGATAGTTCATCCAAAGTCAAGAAGGAAACAGTGGTGTTAAATGAAACAGAAGACCAGATGGTCTTCACAGATATATAAAGAACATTCCATCCCAAAACAGTGGATGGAATTTTCTTCTGAAGTGCACGGGGAACACTCTCAAAGATAGACCATACGTTGGGAAAGAAATCAAGCCTCAGTAAATTTAAGAAGGTTGAAATCATAGCCAGCATCTTTATCAACCACACTGCTATGAACTGGAAATCAACTATAATAAAATAGATGGGAAAGCCACAAACATATGGAGACTAAACAACATGATACTGAACAACTATTGGATCAATGAAGAAATCAATAAATCCCTGGAGACAAATGAAAATAAAAACACAACATACCAAAAATTATGGGATGCAGTAAAAGCAGTATGAAGAGGGAAGTTTATAGCAACAGGCCTACTTGAAGAAACAAGAAAAATCTCAAATAAATAATCTTACGCTGTACCTAAAAGGACTGGAAAAAGAACAAATAATGCCCACAGTCAGCAAAAGGAAGGAAATAAAACAAATCAGACCATAAATAAGTGAAATAGAGAACAAAAACAATAGAAATGTTCAATGACACTAAGAGCTGGTTCTTTGGAAAGATAAACAAAATTGACAAAGCCTTACACAGACACACTAAGAAGAAAGAAAGAGGATGCAAATAAATAAAATCAGAAATGAAAGAGGAGAAATTACAACAGACACCACAGAAATACAAAGGATTATAGAGGACACTATTAAAAGCTATACGCCTGTAATCAGATAACCTAGAAGAAATGGATAAATTCTTAGCATCACACAACCTTCCAAAATTGAATCAAGAAGAAATAGAGAATCTGAATAGACCAATCACAAGTAAAGAGATTGAAACAGTAATCAAACCCTCCCAAAAAACAAAAGTTTGGGACCAGATGGCTTCTCTGGTGAATTCTACCAACATTCAAAGTACATTTACTACCTATCCTCTCAAACTCTCCCAAAAAAAAATTGAAGAGGAAAGGATGCTTCCTAACACATTTTACAAGGCCAACATTACCCTGATACCAAAACCAGACAAGGACAACACAAAAAACAAAAATTACAAGCCAATATCACTGATGAACATAGATGCAAGGATCCTCAACAAAATATTAGCAAATTGAATACAACAATACATTAAAAGGATCATACACCATGATCAAGTGGGATTTATTCCAGGGATGCAGGGATGATTCAATATCCACAAATCAATCAATGTGATAAACCACACTAACCAAATGAAGAATAAAAGTCACATGATCATCTCAATATATGCAGAGAAAGCATATGACAAGGTCCAACATCCATTTATGATTTTAAAAAACCTCGGTAAAACGGATATAGAAGGAAATACCTCAGCATAATAAAGGTCATACATGACAAACCCACTTCATACTCAATGGTGAAAACCTGAAAGCTACTCCTCAGAGAACAGGAACAAGACAAGGAAACCCGCTCTCACTACACTTCTTCAACATAGTACTGGAAGTTGTAGCCAGAGCAAGTAGGCAAGAAAAAGAAATAACAGGGATCCAAATTGTAAAGCAGGAAGTAAAACTCTCACTATTTGCAGATCACTTGATTCTATATTTAGAAAACCCTGAAGAATCCACCCAAAAACTATTAGGAATAATCAATGAATACAGCAAAGTCACAGAGTACAAAAGCAACATACAGAAATCAGTTGTGTTTCTATACACTAATAAGGAACTAGCAGAAAAACAAATCAAGAGTACATCCCCATGTATAATTGCACAAAAAGAATAAAATACCTAGGAATAAATTTAACCAAGGAGATGAAATACCTATACACTGAAAACTATAAGACATTATTGAAAAAAGCAAGTAAAATGCCTCCCATTATTTAAATCGTTATTTTCCCTTCTCTTTTCGTCCTCTCCCCACCCTTCTCTCACCCTCTCTGCCTCCTTCCCTCTCTCCCTCTCCCAAACCTTCTCCTTATCCCTCTCCCTCTCCTTCTCTCTCTCTCTCTCTCTCTCTCTCTCTCACTCTCTCTCTCTCTCTCTCCCCGCCATGTAGAACAGCTTACATCAGATGATTTACATGGGCATATAATGCTACTCTACTATAGTATAATCACTGATTTCCTTCTCTGTCTGTTCCACCAGCTATAAATTCCTTGCAGGTTACACTTATGCTTTATTCAATTTGATTCCTAAATATGTGATTACATGAAGAAAAATTGTGGATTTGGGGAAAGTGATAATGGCATTGTGGCTATGTACTTTTAAAGAGTCCTCATATTTTGGAGAACATTCTGGAATAGTTATACATGATATGCCTTAAAAAATATGGGAATCAGGAGAAGGGTAGCAGAGGTGTGAAGACGATACAGCTGACATGGGCTGATGGTTATTGGACAGGTGGTGGACCCATATAGATACATTAAAACTATTCCATAGATTTGTGTCTATAGGATATGCTTGTATATATGTCAAAACACATATACTTGTGTATATATCAAAAATTCTTCATAATAGGCATTTTTTAACATTTGGATTTCTCACTGCCTGGCCCAGTCCCTGAGACACAGTAAGCACTTCCTCTCTGTTTGACGACTGAATGAACAAGAGAAGTATGGTGAGCACTCTCTGGTTTTATGCGTGTGAAACTACAGAGGGGAACTGCTGAGCTTGGAGGAACCACAGAGGTCCTCTGGTCCAGAAAACAGAGCACTTGGTCAACTCTATCTTCTTCTTTCAACAAGTACTATGTGTAGATGCTATACCAGATTTAATGACTCTATGCCAACAAGACAAGGTCCCTGCCATCAGGGAGTTTACAGTCAGGAGTTAATAAAAGTCTAGATCTCAGCTGGTGCCCTAAAAATTTCGTTCCAAATTGTGCTCACCAATACAATAAATGCGAAAGCGTCAGCTCCTTCCAGAGTTCAAGCTGTGCCCAAAGTCAGACCTTGGCTCTGAGTTCCCAGAAGAGCATGCTCAAGACCCCTCCCGGGAGAATGTCTCAGAGTCTAGACAGCAGAGGAATTCCCTTTGGAAGGGTCACCCAATACTGAGAGTGGAAGGGAGCTGGCACAGGACTGCAGCCACAGACAGCACGGGGGACCTGTGCTCATGTTTGTCCTCAATGAGGCTGCTTAAAACACCAGGATGAGGACCTCTCAGGTCGTCACCTCACTCTCACAGTAACACTACAGGAAACAGCAGCAATGTTTAAAAAAAACAGAATATGGGAATCTGCGTGGTAAATTAGGAGAGCTGGAGGGAACAGCATAGAAAACATAAAGGAAAAATGAGCCTATATTCCCAAAATCATGTATCAGTTCAGTAAATTATGGCAAATGCAGGCAATCACACAAAAATATATATACTATGCATATAAGTATACAGTAACATAGGATGTTGTTTATACTTTACTTGTGAGTAAGCAGCTCAAAACCAAATAAAATATAATATCATTCTGATATTTTTTCTTTTTTTGCGGAGGAAGATTAGCACTGAGCTATCATCTGTGCCAATCTTCCTCCATTGTACATGTGGGTGGCCACCACAGCATGGCTGGTGAGTAGTGTAGGTTTGTGTCCAGGATGCAAACCCACGAACCCGGGCCACCAAAACAGAGCATGCCAAACTTAACCACTACGTCATGAGACTGGCCCCCATTCTAATTTTTTAAAAGCAAAGTATGCATAGAAAAACATGCATAAGTATATATATCACATTGTTAATGAGGCCTATCTTAAGTTATTCGGAATGTGGAAAGCTATAATTTTCCTTTTTCTAGTCTACAGTTTGTAAAATTTTGACAACAACAATGACCACTCTTGTAATAAGAAAAAAAAACTGTCAAAAATAAAGAGATGTACAAATAAATGATTGTATAATCAAACATTTGTCATCTATGCTAAGAGATGTCAAAATATGCTCTAATCTGCCAATATCAGGGTGGGTTTCCTTTCCCAGGGGCCCTGCACCTTTCAGGACGGAACTCCTCAGGCTCTGGCCAGAACTCCGAGGCTCGGTGAAGAGCAAATGTGGGCACCATCACCACTGTCCCTTTGGGAATGAACACCCCATGGATTTCCACATCTTTCTTACAGACCCTCTGTAGTCTGACAGCAATTGGGAATAATCTGAGACTTTCATTCAACACCATGTCAAGATACTCCATCTGTACCAGAGCATCATAGGTGGGAGGTTCCTGGGAAGAAAGAAACAGGTTTTGATAAATTGATATTTGGGATCAACTTTTCACTCAGTCTCTGCAGTACTATTGAAATGTTAGGAGTATGAAAGAATAATTCATATTGATAAAGGACCTTAGCATTTATAGACATTTTAATATCTATCATGTCCTTTGACCTGCTCAGTGACCCATTGAGATGCATGGAGTAGCATGGACTCCCAGGACTATAGGAGACTGTTGGGAGAATCCTCTAAACAGGGTCTGAAATCCCTCACACCACCACGTAGTGGATTTTCTTTCTCACGTGAACAAATGTGACTAATAGACTATGACTCTTACTCTTAAGTGAAATATGCCCAAGTCACTGCTTCCTCTCAAAACAGAGGCCACACATCAGTAACAAGGAAAGAGAATGCATAAAAGAGCAAATGCCCTATTCACACAAAGTTTTTTAATGGAAAAATCCTTCTTGATAACTCTTTAGTTTATATATATGTAATTTGGAGAGAAAAACTGTTTTAAAAAAATTAAAAATAACTTGGGGAGAAACTAGTTCCTTTCTAAACAAAATATGAAAAAACAAAAGGTAAGATAGGATGCTACCTTGGCACTTTCAATTTCATTTCTCAAGAAAGTTATAAAAAGGATCGGAACCCCACTCTCAGCCCCACCCTCGGTTGCTGGAAGTCTCCTAGTGGCTGCTTCAGAATTGGACTGTAAGCTCTGAAGATCTAAACAAGCCACTCTAGCCACAGAGACCAGGTCTCTTCTCATTACAAAGAAATCCTGTTTTGGAAGAGATCTGAAAACTGTGTGGTCAATATGTGGCTATCACCTGGTATTACATTAAAGAGACAATATTGTAGAGGGTAAGAGTTTGGCTCTGGGGCCAGATACCCTGGTTCATAGCTGGGCTTCTTCATCACTAGTTATAACTAGTGTATGAAAGTATTTTATCTCTCTGTAGCTCAGTTTTCTGATATGTTCCATGGAGATGATTTGAGTTGACACTTCATAGGGCTGTTGGACAGAGACATTCACTACTTACCCAACATCCATGTCCTCTCACACATTTTACAACCCAATGAACTTAGGGGAAATCAGCTTTGGCGATGGGCTGTGAGCTGAGGTGATATATGTCGGTTCGGGGACAAAACATTTGAAAAGCCAGTGAGAAACACTGGCTCTTTCTTCTGTAGCCAACAGGAAGGGCTCCTGTTCCAGACAATCAGCTAGAAGAAGATGGAGCCTCATAGGCTGTATCCCTAGCAAATATGTGGAGCAGAGACTCCCACTCTCATCCTCCACTACATCCACTTGGACATCTAAATGACAGTTAGAAGTGAACATTTGCTGTGTAAAGCCTCTGAAATTTGAGGGATAATCTGTTACTGAGGGTAAACCTAGCCTATCCTGACCTATACAGAATTTTATGAAGATTAATTCATTTATAAATAGAAAGCATTTAGAAGAGACACATTTAGTAATAAGCAACTATTAGCTACTCATGTTGTTATTGTCCTTGTAAATATTATTATAAAAAAGGGAGAACACAATGTTTAGCTAGTCTCTGCCTCAAACTGACCTTTTCATCATATTGCACACAAAAGAATCCCAATACAGGTTTTACCAGGGAAAAGAGATAATCTCTAATTTGGGTACGCCCTAAAATGGATTCTTGCCTTATATCTGAAAGACCTAATGCTCAGAAAGGTCATAAGACTTGTCCAAAACCGCAGTCAAGACTCAGAGTCATGTCTTCCATTTCCTGTCCTATTTCCTGCTCTTCCCTGTACACCAAACTCTCCTAATCTGTAAAGTTTACCATGAGTAGTAGACTGCACTAATGGTCCCAATACTTCACCCTTTCCAGTGTCCATGCCCTTTGCCATCTAAACTTGTGTTGTCCTTCCATTCTGACTCTGGGCTTGGCCAGGTGCCTTGCCTTGGACTAGTGGAATGTTGGGTAAGTGAGATTCAAGCACAGTTCTGAAAGACACCCATATGATTGGGCTTCTTGCTCTTGCCCTCTGCCATTGCCCTAAGAAGGGCATACCCAGGCTGGTTTTCTGGAGCAAGAGAGACACGTGGAGCTGAGTAGCCTAGTCAGCTTAGCCAAGGCCAGCCTACATCAGCCAATAGCCAGACCAAGCAAATCCAGCCAATATCAACAGAGATAACTACCCAGACACTTGAGCAATAAATGCTTATTGTTAGGTGCCATTGAGGTTCTGGGGTTTTCACCTGGCAATACTGTGGTAAAGGATAATAGGTACGTCAGGGCCAGCACTTTTTTCCGAGATCTCATATTTATGTGAGTAGCATACATTGCCTAGGTTTCTCCCTTTGTTTTTGTCTCTTTACATCCATCTTAAATAGAGTAGGTGAAAGAATTGATGTTTTTGCTTTTTGAAAAATTCTCATAGGTAGTATTAAGGAGACATTCTTGCTAATAATTCACCTTCTCCCTCTCACTCCAGGTATCAGCCACTCACCGTATTGGGAAAGTCACATCAATCTCCTCCTGCAGCTTCTGCTGGACATCAGGGTGAGTGGCCAAAAGATACATAAGGAAGGAAAGAGAAGTGCTAGTGGTCTCATATCCAGCAACAATAAAGATAATAGATTGGGCCACAAGCTCCAGATCAGACAGAGCTAAAAGGAGAGGAAAGACATTTTAGGTGAAGCAGGTCAATGTAAAACATCACAATTTAGATGAAGAGAAATCCAAATGAAGCTCCCAAAACCCGAGGGGAAAAAAATAGAATAGCAGTTCAAACTGAGAGTGGTTCGCACTCTGATGTGTATCTGAGAGAACAGAAAAAGCAAAAATTGTCTTAATTCAGTTTTTCCCGATGTGTATACTATTCTTGGACATCTCCTCCTGGTTATGCCACCGTCCCCACGAACATAGCTAGGTAGTTTAAGAGACAGAATTTCTGTCTAACATATACAGTGTTCAGCATGTCCCATGGAGAATCCTAAAAGTACTTTAGCTACAAGTAAAGTGGAATAGCATATCCCCAGGAATAACTTAAATTACTCTAGCTAAAATATAGCTTAAATTTTTTTAAGAGAGTTGCAATAGTAAGGCTTAATTGTAGAGAAAATTAAAAGATATTTCCCCTGATATGTTTGAGGGAATTAAAGAGAATAATATTGGCCTACAGATAAAACCTTGCTACTCAAATTGTGGTCCATGGACCAGTAGCATCTGGGACCTCATTTGAAATGCAAATCTCAACCCCTACTCTAGAACTATCGAATCAGAACCTGAACTATCAAAAGATGTGGTGTATTGTGTGCACAACCTAGCTTGATAAGCATGGATTGTGCCTTCAGAGGCATTAAGTAATGGAAGATCTGAGGCGCAAGACATCAAATGGAAGACCCCAGATATGTATGGAAACTACAGAGACAGACAAAAATGCTAGAAGAGTGGTGATTGACCCTAGTCTAATCAGTGGCATTAAAATAGTAGAAGAAAGAATAGCATTGACCAGCACGAAATGTAGAAAAATAAGATCCAGTGAGAATAACAGCAATGCTTATTCAATCATGGCCTGAATGTCATCTTCCTCAGCATATGTGTCCTTTCTTTGCCCTGCTTTACAGTCAGCAAATAGCCATTGTGTTTATAAGTTGGCCTCCATTTTGAATTTCTCCTGGAAGAAACTAAGCATAGTCCCACTCTAATCGATTTGCTTGGGACTAGATTAGGAGTTTTAGAGTCCTTAATTAGAGCACTGAAATAAACATGGTTGGTATCTGCTCCAACCACATAATTCACAACTAAAACACTACAAAATGAGTGTAAGAAAGGTCTATAGAGTTCTTACATCCCAATGATGACTTCTGCTATGCTGTTGTGGGTAAATTAATATATCAAATGCTCCCCCAGGTCAGCATGAATCTCTTGATACTGAAAGTTTAGAGCTGTGATGTACAATATGGTAGCCACATGTGGATGCTTAAATTTAAATTTAAGTTACTTAAATTTAAATACATTATAAGACTCAGGTTTTCAGTGGCACTGGCCACATATCAAGTGTTCAATAGCCACATGTGTCTAGTGCTTACTGTATTGAACAGGGCAGATACAGAAAACTTCATCACAGAAAGTTGTACCGGACCATACAGTTGTAGATAGATAGATAGATAGATAGATAGATAGATAGATAGATAGATAGTTAGATAGAAGTAGGTATAGATAAAATTATAGTGGTGTGATACATTCATATCATCTGTGCTCTCGAGGACCAACTGCTAAATATTTGGGAATTCTCTGAGATGGTGTCAAACCATTGGTAGCTTGAAATTAACCATATGGGAGTACTCATATCATGGAAATAAACTCTAAATCAGAGCCGTTTTTAGAGAGAGTGAAACAGAGCACGTTTACATCACTGGTTATGCGTAGATACAGAAATATTTACATATATCACTTCTGTGTAAGTATATTTGATGTTCTTAGCTTTGTCCTCTGAGATGATCTAGAAGCAAAGAAACCCTACTAGCAATGAGCACTCCTACATCCCAGATTTTGTTTTCTAAATACTATTTCTCAATAAAAGGAACCAGAGCTCCTTGGAGAAATGGTGGATTCCAGGGTTCGTCAAGGGAAATAGAAGAGAAATCTAGAAAGTCTTCCATCAGAAAGCAAGGAAGTGCTCAGAAAATAGTATGTGAAAAGATACAGGATAATCTGCATACTACAATGGTGGATATATATCATTATACATTTGTCAAAACCCGTAGAAAGTACACCAGGACTAAAGTAAACTATGGACATGGGGTGATAATGTGCCAAGGGAGGCTCATTGATTGTGACAAATGTACCCTTCTGGTAGGGATTTCTATAGTGGACGAGACTGTGTATAGTTAGGGAAAGGGGTATATGGAAAATCTCTGTATCTTACACTCAATATTCCTGTGAATCTAAAGCTGCTCTAAATAAGTCTACTGAAAAAATAAAATTAAAAAAGAAAGAAGAAAAATCAAAGGACACAGGAGCTCCCTTGAAAGGGTTTCCAGTGGCCAAATCTGAGAGAATTTGAGCATCAAAATAAAAAATGATATGAGAGGAAATTAGTAATATATGAGATCATACTAATATAAGTATGTAAACAAATATATTAATGAGATAATGGAGTGCTCTCCTTACAATGGAACATCAACTCATAAATGTCGAAGAAATGATGGAACTGGAAAGCCATCATTTTGCAACCATCATAGGAATAGTGGTTTCGATCTAAAACCATCAATGGATGACAAAACTAGTAGGTGAAATTTGAACAGGTATAGAATGTTTACCCAATATCAAAGGCTTCCCTCAGAGGTTACATATTAATACAAAGGAAAAAATAAAACTTTACAGTAGATTAAGCTAGTGGACACAACTGTAAACAATTCTCCACATTAAGGTCACTAACAATGGGGCAATGTGCCCCCGTGATGAAGCCTTGATGCAAGTTACCAGGTTGAGGCTCTGATTCAGTGGGTCTGGATGAGGTCTGAACACTGACATGAAAACAAGCTCCCCAGAGGTTCTGATGTAGGTGATCCACAGACCACTGGCCGACTTTGGGGCATGAAACACTTGTTCATGGTTGCTCTTCAAGATTTGAAAAAAATTATGCCTGTAGCTTTCCAGAAAGTGCCTCTGGCTACGACTTATTTAGGAACATGTGTCTTTCTTCCATTTGTCTTAAATTCTCATCTGTCTGGAAAAACTTTTTGCAGGTTTTCAGAAGCTTTCTCTCCCTCTGAGCTTTCCCATAGTGGCCTTCTGACACACTCCTTGGTTACCTTTATGTGTGTCCAGTTCTTTGGAATTCTGGGAGTTAATCATCAGCTGAAGAAAATCCACTCGCTGCTGGAAGGAGAGAGACACATTTCAATGATAGACACTTACTTGTGAAGTCAGAAATAAACGAGGAGTGCGGTACTTAACCTCTTTCTTGAGATTATGGCCCCTTTAAGTCCAGAAGTCTGACTAGTGTTGCCTGCATCATCAGTGAACAGAAACATCCAGCTACAAATCTTGATGTTTCCCTAAGAGAAATCCAGCCATCGTGTCCAACTGTTTTTCTGTTCTCACTCTGTCTGATCTTGGGCTTCTCTGGCTTTTGAACACAGCTTCTTGGCCAAAGAGTTGTCTGCCTCCTCTCCTGTCATGAGGAAGTTCCTGACTTCAATCTCTTTTTTCTTCATCCTTAATTTTTAATGAATGGCCACATAAATTAATCCCCTGACATTTGCAGAGTTCATCAGCAGCTTTTCTCTGAACATCTTCAAATGCCCCACACTCCCAGAACTATACACAATCTTCAAGAACTTACTGGGAGCACTCAGCCCTGTCCCCCTGACTACAGACATCCTTGTGCGGGTCTCCAGACTTCATGAAGGCAATGCTGTGTTAGCCAGCTTGCAGCCTCAATGCCAAAGAAGACTCTTGCCCACTCCACACTATGAGATGGCACCGATTTAACACAGACTATACTCTACAGGAAGCCTAATGGGGGCTTCCATTGGGGCTCATGTAAAATAAGAGGCTTGGAATTGAAATGATTCTTTGCCACTCTAAGATCTGGGGAAATTAAAATACCAGTAAAATAATTTTTAAATAGAAATGTTTATCCTTTGACAATTGATTGAAGGGAAGTGGTCAAGTTTTACCTCAATGATATGCATGCAGTGACATAGTAATTGTCATGCCTATTATTAATTTTAAACATGGCCCTCTGACTCATTTTCTTATTTCCCTCCCCCAATTCAACCTTCTTCATTTTCCCCAAAATGTTAGAAGTCTCCTGCTCTAAACCCTGGAGATCTCAACCACCTGAAAAAAACTACAGTTAAGTGCACAAACCATATGTATACAGCTCAATAAATTATGAAAGGTGAACACCCACATGTAATCACCACCAGATTTTACCTTTTCTTTATCTTTGAGGCGACTTTCTTTCATCTTTTTTACAGATTTTACAAAAAAATCCATACGACTTTTTGGAAACATAGAGATATTTAATACTTCAAAAACTGGGTGAAGAAATGGAAAGAGTACTGTAGGGAAAAAGAAAAAAGAAAGCATAATGAAAATGCAAAATTTACCTGGAGCAACTATAATTTCCTCTACCAGTCAGAAGAGTAAATGATAACAAGCTTCTCAACCAGGAGACATTCCCTCTATTACCTTTTCTCAGACTTCCAAGCCAATGGCTGAGCAATTGTAAGTCCACACATAGGGGCCATCACTACAGCAATGAGGTCAGTGGCCCTCTGCATCTTTGGAGTGACCAAAAGAAAGGATTGTATTCCTTGACCTCTTAGTCTTTTATCCATTGGACTAGAGTCTCTTTGGATAAACCAGACCATAGTCTGCTACTTTAATTAATTGTGCAGTTCGAGAAATACAACTCCAGATAGAAATAATACACGTCTTTTAACCGCAATGAAATGAAATCAGAAATCAGTAACAGAAAGAAAATTGGGAAACTCACGAATATGTGGCGATGAAACAATACACTCCTAAATAACCAATGGGTCAAAGAAGAAATTAAAACAGTGATAAAAATTACTTCGAAATAAGTAAAAACGAAGGCACTATGTACCAAGACTTATCTGATGTAGCAAAAGCAGTGCTGAGAGAAATTTATGGCTACAAATTTCTACGTTTAAAAAGAACAAAGATCTCAAACCAATAACCTAACTTTCCAGCTTAATGTACTGAAAAATTAAGAGCAAACAAAACCTAAAGCAAGTATAAGGAAATAATAAAGACAAGAGCAGAAACTAATGAAATACAGAATTAGAAAAAATAGAGAAAATCACTGAAACCAAAAGCTGATTCTTTGCAAAGACCTTTAGCCAGATTGACCATGAAAAAAAGGAGAGACTCAAGTTACAAGCGTCAGAAATGAAAGAGGGGACACTATTACTGACATTAAAAGAATAAAAAGAGGGGTGCCAGCCTCGTGGGATGGTGGTTAAGTTCAGTGCACTCCACTTCAGCAGCCTGGGTTCGTGGCTTCAGATCCTGGGCATGGACCTATACCACTCGTCAGCCATGCTGTGGCTGTGAACCACATATAAAATGGAGGAAGAATAGGACAGATGTTAGCTCAGGACTAATCTTTCTCAAGCAAAAAATAAAAGAGGAAGATTGTCGACAGATGTTAGCTGAGGTCTAATCTTACTCAGCAAAAAAATAAAAAATAAAAAGAACTATAAAGGAATACTATGAACAATTTTACGCCAAAAATTTCACTAACTTAGATGAACTAAGCAATTTCCTAGAAAGACACAAACTACAGGAACTGACTCAAAAAGAAATACAATCCCTGGTGGTCGCCACATGGGAATGGGGCAGAGGGAAGGCAAAAGGGGTAATGGGGCACATGTGCATGCTGATGGATGGCAACTAGACTTTTCGTGGTGAGAACAATGCAGTCTATACAGAAGTCAAAATATAAGGATGTACACTTGAAAGTTATATAATATTATAAACCAGTGTGACCTCAATTAAAGAAAAGACAATCTTAATAAACCTATAACAAGTAAAAAGATTGAGTTAGCAATTAAGATCCTACCCACAAAGGAAAGTTCTGATCCAAATGGTTTAATGGGGAATTCTACCAAATATTTAAAAAAGAATTAACACCAATTTTTCACAAGCTCTTCCATAAAATAGAAGAGGAGGGAACATTTCCAAACTCATTCTACAAGGACAGTATCACCCTGATACTAAAACCAGACAAAGAAATCACAGGAAAAAAACAAAAAACAAAAAACTAGAGACCAACATATCTTATCAACATGGCTGCACAAATCCTCAACAAAATAATAGCAAATTTAATCCAGCAACATATAAAAACAAGTATACACTATAACCAATGGAGTTTATTCCAGGAATGCAAGGTTGTGTAATACACTGTATCAATAGAATAAAAAACAAAAACCACGTGATCATCACAACAGATGCAGAAAAAGCATTTCACAAAATCTGACACCCTTTAATGTTAAAAACACTCAACCAACTAGGAGTAGAAGGGAATTTCCTTAACGTGATAAAGGACAGCTACAAAAAAGCATAGCTTACACCATACTTAATAGCAAAAGACTGGATGCTCTCCCTTAAGGTTAAGAGGAAGTCAAGGATGCCTCTCTCACCACTTCTATTCAGCATTGTAGTAGAGGTTCTACCCAGAGGAATTAGGCAAGAAAAAGAAATAAATGGTATCCACATAGGAAATGAAGAAGTAAAACTATCTCTATTACCACATAACATGATCTTGTATATAAAAAATCCTAAAGAACTATTTGACTGTAAAAAGAAATGAAGTACTGATAAATGCTACAACATGGATGAATGTTGAAAACATTATGACAAATAAAGAAAGCCAGCTGCAAAAGACCACGTATTGTATGATTCCATCTCTATGAAGTGACCCAGCTAGGTAAATCTACAGAGAGAGAAAGTAAATTGGTGGTTCCTTAGGACTCAGGGGAGAGGAGGGGTTGGTTAAAATGTACAGGGTATCTGTGTTGACAAAAATGTTCTAACGATTCACTGTAGTGATAGTTGAACATATATTTGAATGTAATAAAAATCTTTATTTCCCATTTAATTGAATTATGATTGACACACAGTACTGTATAAGATTAAGAAGTATAGGATAAAGACGACATACATATATTGTGAAAAGATTAGCACAATAAGTTTCATTACATCCATCACCTCTTATAGTCACAGAAAAATAATTTCCCTTGCAATGAGAACTATTAGGAGCTACACTCTGGTAACTTACAAATATACTATACAGCACTGTTAGCTACAGACATTATGCTGTACATTACATTCCCAGTACTGATTTATCTTATAATCAAAAGTTTGTACCTTATGACCACATTCCTCCAATTAACCCACTCCAAACCATGCCTCTGGTAACCACAAATCTGAGTTTTTTTTCCTGTATGAGTTTGGTTAGGTTTTTTTTAGAGTCCACATATAAGTGAGATCATACAGTATTTGTCTTTCTCTGTATTACTTATTTCACTTAGCATAATGCCCTCAAGGCCCATTCATATTGATGCAATGGCAGGATTTCCATCCTTTTTATGGCTGAATAGTATTCCACTGTATATTTATAAGGTATTTGCTTTACCCATTCATCTGTAGATAGATACTTAGGATGAAAAAACAATTGAATTGTACATTTTCAATGGGTGGAATATATGGTATGTGAATTATAAATCAATAAAGCTGTTACAGAAAGAAAGAAGGAAAGAAGGAAAAAAGGAGAGAGGGAGAGTGGAAGAAAGAAGGAAGGAAAGAAAGAAGGAAGGAAGGAAGGAAAGGTGGGAGGGAAGAAGTAAGGAAAAGAAAAATAGTAGTCCACATACTTGTTGAGAGAATGAGTGGATCCAGGAAATCAAGTCTTATGAGCTTCCTGCTGTTTTGCACAAAGGGATCTTGTGGGTTGTTGAGGGAATCGATGTTCACTCCAAATGATGTGCTAGTAATCACATCCATGCCGTAGGCCCCAAAGATGCTGGGTAGAAAAAGAAAGACACAGAAAATTAAAATCAGCACCTCTTTACTTTCCTTATCCAAAACATGCAGCAAGAGGTGTATGCAAATTCGTATGCTCAGTCAAGACAGGTAAAGAGCCATACATCATCAAACCTTCTACTGGATCATCTGAAGAGTCTATGCTACTGTCACTCTCACTCATGAGGTGTTTATCAGGTTTCAGTGATGAACTTGGCCCTGTCTTAGGGGTTATGGGGACACTAAGGAATGTTAGACCCTCCTCTGACCTGAAAGAGCTGAGCCATAGAGGAAGAGACCCATAATCAGAAAAATTTCAACAGTGTGTTTTGAATATGGGCAATAGTACTTGTATGAGCACTGTGTTTCAGCAGGACAAAGGGTGAAATAACTAACTCATTCTAGGGGATTCAAGAAAGGTGACATTGATCTCGTCTTGCCTCACCACAGTATCTATGCTCAGAGCTGATTCCTCTTTAGCACATTACAGAACAACAGGACCCTGTTCTGAGTTGCCAGGAATGTCATCACTCCTTCTCTATACCCCTGCTAAGGCTCCTGAAAGACCCACTCCTCCTCAACTCCAGTGATCTCAGGTTGCCCTGAGGGCAGACTCATTTCTGTAAATGTAAAAACTAAGAATGTTCCCTAGTTAGAAAATAATAATAGAGCACTCCAACGTTGATTTAGGTGATCCCATAGCTAAGTGATCATGTGTCTCCAGTTTTCCCAGGACAATCCCAGTTTACATCTGTTGTTCCTGCATAATTAAAAATATCCCACTTTAGCCAACAGATGAAATGGGCACCCTACCCATAGCCTGTACAGGGCCTTCTCTCTTTGAGACTGAAGGAAGGAGAAGTGGTGGAAAGATTTAATATTTAGCATTTTGCTGATATCCTCAGCAAAATCATGAAGGGGTTTAAATTAAACCAAGTTCTACAGCGTAACTTTCCTGCCCCTCCTACTGCCCACCAATATGTAACAAATGCCTTACCCTCCCACCACTCCATACCCTCTAAACAGAAAGCTTTAGTATGATCATGCTTCTTCTTTCTAAACTACGTATTTTTGTCTTCCAGAATATCCAAGGTGAAAATTAAGCAGACAAATCAATCCTTGCTCATGTACACAGGTGAGAAGATCCTTTCTCTCCTGGCTGCCCTGCCTTCTAGGGTGAGTCACCTCTTCTTGTGTGACTCATTGGAGCTGTAATACCATAGGCTTACTTCTGTTTGGTCACTAGAGTAACTCAACAGTGGGATTTGCAGCTCCATGTCAGGCTGCTGGAGGGTCTTGTGACAGAGCTCAGACTACCAGCAGGTACAGTCCTACTTACTCTTTCAAGGTGATGAGCTTGCCTTTCTCCGCTGCCTTCTTCAGGTTTCTCACCAACACATCTCCACACTGGCCAATGATGGGGAACATCTAGACACAAAATACAACACAACCCAAGTGAAATGCTGAGACTCCACTCCTAGAAGGACTTGGCTTTAGCAAGCATGGAACAGTAAGTGACATTTTATAATGAATCTTATAATGTCTCTTTAGGACGTAAAGATAAAACACTATTTCTAGGAAGCTCAAATTGAGCAAAGTACCCCTTGGAGAGGGGCTATGATCTTATTTTCTATCTGATGCCAGGTGCTTTCCTTAAGTTTCTATTTAAAAGTCCTGTCAATTTCTTACCTCCTTGAGCTTTCCACTGGTGAAGGTTGGAGACAGCAATGTTCGTATTCTCTTCCATTGTTCATCTGTAGACAGAGCGATGGCATTTTTCATAAATCCCACTGGACCAAAAGGCTGGCCTCAAAAGCCAAAGACATGTTGCCCTACATGAGTTTTGGAGGTCTCAACAATTGTGGAAAATTTGGTAAACTGGTATCAATTATTTAAGAAATATTTAGTGATTGTGTACCTAGTAGCAGACCCTATGATAGATGCTCAATAAATATTTATTTCCAATGTCTAGGTTCCTTTGAGGGTGAAGGAGACATGTAGCCACCTGATGTAGATTCCAGCCTTTATATTCCAATCTCCTTTTAAATGCAAATGACCCATGTGGTAGGGAATCTGTTCTTCCAGGGGAATAGACAGGCATAAGACTTAGTACATCCTAGAGGGATGATCAGAGGAGAAAGGGATTGGTGACAGATAGCCAGATAGCCTTGGAGAACTGTATGTTGCCTCAGACCAGTTCTGGTTTTACATATATATCTATATATATCTATATCTATATATATCTATATATATACAAAAACAACTTGAAAAAGGGATGTCCTGATATGGAAATTTAAAAAAAAGTAGTTAATAATTAAAAGACTAGTAATCTATTTGCTATTCTGCAGAAATTGTACAATCACATGGAAATCCCTTGGTATTACATTTTTCCTCCAGGGTTAGAAAGGAAAAGAGATAATTCTATTTCTTAGCTTGAGATTAGCTTCCCAAGCCAACCTCCCTGAGAATTTCTTTCAACTTCTAAAACTATGTTTTGTTTTAAAATGGATATCTCCAACACCATTCATGATAAAAACTCAAAAACTAGGAAGAGAGGGAAACCCTCAACTTCGTAGGGAGCATCTATAAAAACCCACAACTAACATCACACTTGATGAAAGACTGGAGTGACCTCACTAAGCTGGCTGAGTAGGACTCCAGCCTCCATCACCCCTCAAAGAATAATTAGACAGCTATTCACAGTTGAAAATAGATCTAGAAGAGCTCAGGAGTCTACTTAAGATTCTTCAGCAACACAGTGGAGGAAAAAAAAACTGAGAATAACTGAAAAAATGGGTAAGGACAATAGTTTAACTTGCCTATATCACCTCATCGCCCAGGCCAGCACTCCTCAGCTCAAGGAGGGAACTCCCAGCTTGAGAGACTTCTACTTGCTGGGAATAAGACAGCAGGGCAAGTGACCAGTTTCCCCAGCCTTTCAGGGCACTGCAGAAATGACCCACTTTGGTTTCAAGCCTCTCTGAGACTGGCATAGCTGACACATCTTAAGACAGCTAGTAAGGGCAGGGACTGCCACTGATCACAATGTGGTCAGAGTGACCATGGTTCTCTGTGGCCTGCTCTGCAGAAGATTCCAGAAATCTTTGCTGCTGAGGAAACCAACAGCTAACACAGAGGCTGCAGACACTCTGCAGATTTTGCAGCTGATAACCCCACAGGTTTTTTATAGTCACAGACTCCAGCTGCATGAGTCCTGCCCTGCCCCACTGCTCCCCTGCCAGAGCTGCCCTAGCCAGTGCCACCAATGACTCCCTGAGCCCTGGGATCCACATCAGCAGCAGCCCCGGCCTCTGTGCTTGGGCTTGTGCATGACAACAGCCCAGGGCCCTGCAGCTGCTCAGGTGCCTAAAGCCAGCCCTGAGCCTTGTCAGTGGAATTCACTGCACGTGCCCACAGCTAACCCCTGCAGCCGCCAACCTGCACATTGCAAGCTTCAACTCCAGTCGCCAGCTCCCCTGCAGTGCATGTGCCTGGACTCAGCTCCCACAGATGAGCGTGTGCATACACCCACTCTCTCCACCACTGCTTCTTGTCTAGGTCCATTGCTAATAGAACTGGAGGCATTGCTGAAGACCTCAACAGCCGTTGCAGCCACTGTGGACCCTCCACAGATCTTGCTGCCAAGGATCAAGCAGTTGGTGGTGTTGTGAACCCCAGCTGCCTGAGCCAACCATGCCCCCCTGCATATAGAGCCACCACACATCCCCACATTTGGCACCCAGCACCACTTGACTGAGGGCCGCAGCACACTACATTGTGCCCTAACCCACAAGCAAAGGTCATTCCTTACTGAAGGTAGTTCATAAAGTCTGGAAGAGGTGACTGCTCCCCAAATTCACAGACACCATTGCAAGACTACAGGGATCACAAAGAATTAGGAAAACATGACAACAACAAAGGCACATAGCAAACTTCCAGTAACTGACCTGAAAGAAATGGAGATCTACAAATTGTCTGAGACAGAATTTGAAATAATTGTTCTAAAGAAGCACAGAGAGCTACAAGAGAACACAGATAAACGATTTAACAAAATCAGAAAAAAATTACAAGAACAAAATAACAAGTTCAACAAAGAGATATTAAAAAAGAACCAAAAAGAAATTTTAAAGCTGAAGTTGACAAAGAATGAACTAAAAAATGCGAGAGCTACAAGGGAACCTCCATAAGGCTGTCAGTGGATTTCTCAGCAGAAACCAAGAAGCCCAGGAGAGGCTGAAATGATATATTCAGGTGCTAAAAGAAAAAAATCTACCCACAAAGAATACTTTACCTGGAAAAATGATCCTGCAGAAATGAGGGAGAGATAAAGACATTTCCAGACAAACAAAAGCAGAAAGAGTCATCACCACTAGACCTGCCTCACAAGAAAGGCTGAAGGGAGTTCTTCAAGCTGAAAAGAAAGGACACTAACTAGTAACAAGAAATCATATGAAAGTATAAAACTCACTGGGAAATGTAAATATATATTCAAATTCAGAGTACAGTAATATTGTAATGGTGGTGTGCAAATCACAACTCTAGTGTAAAGGTTAAAAGAGAAAAAGAGTTAAAGATAACTATAACTAAAATAATTTGTTAATGGATACACAATATAAAAAGATGGAAATTGTGACATCAAAAACATAAAATGCCAGTGGGGAGTAAAAGCATTGAGTTTTTCAGTGAGAACAAAGTTAAATTGCTATCAGTTTAAAATAGACTGTGATATCTACTAGGTGTTTTATAGAAGCCTCATGGTAACCACAAAACCAAAACCTATAGTAAATACAAAAAAGATACAGAGACGGGAATCACAGCACACCACCACAGAAAAGTATCATATTACAAAGAAAAACAGAAATAAGAGGTGAAGAAGGAACAAACGATCTATGAAACACCCAGATTAACAAAATGGCAATAATAAGTCCTTTCAATTAATAATTACTTTAAATGTAAGTGGATAGATGAATGGATAAAGAAAATGTGTGTACATACATATGTATAGATATGTATATCTATATATGTGTATATATATACACATGTGCGTATGTATATAGATATATGTATGTACACACACAAACATACACTGGAATATTATTCAGCTTTTAAAAAGAAAGAAATCCTTCCATTTTTGACAACATGGATGAACCTGGAGGACAACATGCTAAGAAAATTAAGTCAGACACAGAAGGACAAATACCACATGATCTCACTTATATGTGGAATCTAAAAGATAAAAGTCAAACTGATAGCAGCAGAGAGTAGAAGGGTGGTTATCAGAGGCTAGGGAAGGGGGAATGGGAGATATTGTTCAAAGGGTACAAACTTTCAGTTATAAAATAAATCAGTTCTGGAGACCTAATGTACAGCATGGTGACTATCGTAAATAATACTGTATTGTATACTTGAAATTTGAGAAGAGTAGATCTTAAGTGTTCTTACCACACACACAAGAAAAGGTAACTATGGGAGGTGATGGATATGTCAATTCATTTGTGGTAATCATTTCACAATGTATTCATACATCAAAACATCACATTGTACACCATAAATATATGTATTTATTTGTCTAAAATAAATTTTTAAAAATTTTTAATGGTGAAAGAATAAATGCTTCCTCCCAGATAAGGAGCAAGGGAAAAATATCCACTCTCACCATTCTTATTCAACATCATACTGGAAGTCCTAGCTATTGCAGTAAGACAAGAAAAAGAAATAAAAGGCATACAGATTGAAAATGAAAACAGAAGTGTCCCAATTTTCAAGTGACATAATTGTCAATGTAGAAAATCTCAAGAAACATAAAAAGAAATATAAACATGATGTAATCCATGCAGAAATAGAAGTATAATGATGTACACCTGAAATTTATACAATGTTATAAACCAATATTACTGCAATAAACAAAAAATTTAAACAAAAAGAAAAACCTCTAGAACTAATAAATGAGCTCAGCAAGGTTGTAGGATACAAGATCAACACACAAAAATCAACCACATTTCTGTATAATAACAATGGATATGTGAAAACACATAAAAAACACAAGCCCATTTAAAATCACTCCAAAGACAATGAAGTACTTTATGTGTAAATTTAACAAAACATGTATGGAATCTTTATGCTGAGTACTACAAAATGCTGATGAAAGGAATCAAAGAAAACGTAAATAAATAGAGACATTCTTGAGTTCATGGATAGAAAGTGTTGACCTAGTAAAGATATAGATTTTCCCCAAATTGATCTGTAGATGTTATTAAAATCTCAGCAATTTTTTTTGTAACCGTGGATAAGCTTACTCTAAATTTGTATGGAAATGCAAATGACCTAGAATAGCTAAAACAATTCTGAAGAAAAATAAAGGGAGAGAAATCATTCTACATGATGTTAAGATTTCCTCATAGCTACAGTAATCAAGATTTTGTGGTATTGGTGGAGGGATAGACCCACAGATCAATGAACAGAGAATGAGAAATAGATACACACAAGTAGGCCCAAAAGATTTTTGACAATGGTGCAAAAGCTATTCAATGGAGGAAAGATAGCCTTTCCACAAATGGTGCTGGAGCAGTTAGACATCCATAGGCAAAAACAAAATGAATCTTGACCTAAACTTCATATCTTATACAAAAATTAACACAAAATGAGATTATATGGTATTTGACCTTTTCCCTCTGACTTATTTCACTTTACATATGATCTCACTCATTAAGTAGCAGATAATAACAACAAACAAACACATAGGGACAGAGATTGGATTGGTGGTTACCAGAGGGGAAAGGAGGAGGGAGGAGGGCAAAAGGGATAATTAGGCATATGTGTTTGGTGATGGATTGTAATTAGTATTTGGGTGGTGAACATAAGAACATGATGTAATCCATGCAGAAATAGAAGTATAATGATGTACAACTGAAATTTATACAATGTTATAAACCAATGTTACCACAATAAACAACAACAAAAAATTAACACAAAATGGATCGTGGATGTAAATGTAAAACATAAAACTATATAACATTTAGAAAAAAAGAGAATTCTTTGTGACCTAGGGCTAGATGAGGAGTTTTCAGACTTGACACCAAAGGCACAACCCATAAAAGGAAAAATGGAACAATTGGCCTCATCAGAATAAAAAATGTTTCCTCTGCTACAGACCCTGATAAGAGGGAAAGACAAGCTACACGCCGTGATGATAAAGAATAGTAAGATGGAGACTTGTCGTGATGGAACAGTTCTGTATCTTGATTGTGGTGGTCATTACACAAAGCTACGTACATGATAAATTTTTATAGAGCAACAGACACACACACAAACACACACACACAAATGAGTGCACATAAAACGGATGAAATCTGAATCAGTTCAGTGCATAGTACCAATGTCAACGTCCTGCTTTGATACCGTACTATAGTTATGCAAGTTATTACCACTGGGGGAAACAGGATGAAGGGCACCTGACATGGCACCTCCCTCTACTTTTGATTTTGGCAACTTCCTGTGAACGTATAATTATTTATAAATACAAACTTAATAAATAAATTCAATTTTAAATTAAAAGAAATGGATGCCTACCCTCCGGTTTGTGAAGACAGAATAACATTCTTTCACTAGTACTGTTTTGATCATGTCTGGATCTGTGATAGCCAACACAGGTTGTCTACCATCATAAACCCTGTTGGGAAAACAGAGCTGATTACATTGAACAAGATGGATTCTACAGTTGGACCCACACCTAAAAGTCCAGACTTTCATCCTGATGTTACATAATCCATACTCCAAGAGATGACGGTTGGAAATCAAATTTGTTGGAAAGAAGATTTGTTAAGTCTAGGTGGTGTGTACATGGGTATTTCCTGTCCCATTCTCCATCATTTTTTCTATGTTTAAAATATTTCATTATAAAAAGAACTTATATTAGTAAATAATTGAAGGTAAGTAATTGCCTAAGAAAAAAACAATAGTTAATTAAAGAAAGTCTACCCACTCAGTCATGAAAAACTATAAATTCTGAAGATCTATCAAAACATGACAAATGCATATGACATAATATTAGATGAAAACTGTAGACATATTGATCACAAATATGTAATAATGTGTCTACAGACAGAAAAAGATTTGGAATGCTCAAAAAGTGATAGTAGGATTATGAATGATTTCACTGCCCTATTTTTAAAATTTCTAAAAGAGTCTCTGGACTGAGATTGCCTTCCTACAGCAAAGGCATCATCATAACAACAAGTCTATCTGATGAAAGTTTCCAGAATACTCACCCCCACATTTTTCCATATTTTTTAAAACATTTCTTGTCAAAATCCCAAGTACCCTGCAAGGAGAAACAATATTAGATTACTAACATAAATGTATTGAACCATATCTATAACTGGCATAAAAATTACTAGAATCCCATGAATTCAGTCTTACTATCTTTCACTGGCAGTGAGAGGGAGCTCTTATTCAGAGATGTCTTAGGGGAAAGAAGAGAAAATAGAGGAGATATCTGAAATGGAGAATTTAATTTTGAATATGCTCCACATATTGTAGATACTAAATGACTTACCCATGTCATGAATACCAAGTAACTCCTTATCTTTCTAAAGTGTTTTCCTTTGTGCATGTTTGTCTCTGAAGTAAAATAACCCTCTGAATTGTGACCTCCACGGACACATGAGAAATCTGAAGCCGAGGGAAAGTGAGTGTGCCCTGCACACACTTTCATCTCCTTGTTAAGCATCCTTTTCATTTATCTCATGGGCGCTCTCTAGAAATCTAGGAGAATTAGGAAGTTTAAGATAACAGTGACCTATTTCAGTCTAGCAGATTTAAATAAGTCTAAGGTATGTTTGTTGAGTGAGAAAGTGAGTGAGTGAATGATTGAATAACAAAATAGACCCGCCTTGCAATTTTCCAGCTCAACATGGAAAAGATGGGGAGAAGCCACCACTCCACAGAGCAAATTAAAACACTTGCTCTGATTTTTCACTTCTACAACTTAAAAAAGAAAATCTCCCAGTCACTAAGTTTCAGTTGTGATGTTTCGACTATGCAAAAAGATGTCCCAGAAATATGGATCTTGGGGTGCATCCACTAAGGCACTGATCTGAGAAAGGTAGGAAGGAAAATATTGCTTTTTCAGAGGGAAAAATATACGAAAGTTTTGTGGCAGTAGTTAGGCACTGAAGGCCTACTTGGGAGAATTGGGATCTAAGAAAGAAGCCTCAGGTCTGTGGGAAAGGAAATCTAGGCAAAGACCAGCCTACATGCAAGGTGCTGCCAGCTTGCAATCTGGACGTGAACTTGAAACCTCCACCCAGGGGCCAGGCCCTGAGGGAGGCATCAGAGCTCAGTTAACCACAATGGCTCCACCAAATCTCACGGTCTATGTGTCACCTAGTATATTCCTCGGTTATATTAAAATTTTAACGATGTCCAATTACCTCCCTTCCAGTGATGTTGTATAAGTGAGTCTGCATTTAAAACACACACACATGGGCCAGCCCCACAGCTTAGCGGTTAAGTGGGCGCGCTCTGCTGCTGGCGGGTTCGGATCCTGGGCGCACACCGACGCACCGCTTCTCCGGCCATGCTGAGGCTGCGTCCCACATACAGCAACTAGAAGGATATGCAACTATGACATACAGCTATCCACTGGAGCTTTGGGGGGAAAAAAAGGGGGAGGAGGATTGGCAATAGATGTTAGCTCAGAGCCAGTCTTCCTCAGCAAAAAGAGGAGGATTATCATGGATGTTAGCTCAGGGCTGATCTTCC